AGTACTCCACTTTAGGTGTGCGTGCCCTTGTTAGGTGATTTTCAATTAGCAGTGTGTGTTCAGCCCACACATGCACCGTATGCCTTCTAATGCTGGATGCTGAGACTCTGTAGGGGTTTGCAGATGAACTCCCCACACACAGTTCCTTATCAGCCACTTTGATCTGAGATAGAGAACTAGTGTGTCTGCTTTGAGCATGTGTCAGGTTTTCTAATATTTCTGTAGTCATTAAGATAGTTGTTAGTATAATTGTATCAGAGGGGTAGCCGTGTTAGTCTGAATCTGCAAAAGCGACGAGGAGTCCTGTGGCACCTTATAGACTAACTGAAGTGTAGACATGCATCTGACGAAGTGGGTCTTTGCCACGAAAGCTTATGCTCCTACACTTCAGTTAGTATAATTGTAGTTAATTATATGAGAAGTTAATTCATGAGAAGATTGTTTTACCCCTCTTCCCTTTTGGAGGAAACTTATTTTTTCCTGGCAGAACGTGGCTGGCTCATCAGGTTTCAAATATTGTGTCTCCTGCTGAGAGACTATACCTATGAGGAACAGTCTAAGTGTGTCACTTGCTAGGGGGAGTCCTATATCTCCCAGAAGTGCAACATCTGTCTGACCTTCAAATTCAGGACAAGGAAAAACAGAAAGATCAAAGTCAGACTACTAATGATGAATGCTACTGTCAATCAGGTTCTGAGTCAGAACAAAAGATCCTTCTCTCCATATATCTGCCTCTGAACAGATCCAGCACTCCTATCTCAATGCAGGAAAGGCTTACAAAAAAGAGAAGTGCAAACTTTCATCTTAGAGAATAGCTTTGAAAAGGTCTTAAGTTCTGGCATGATTTACTGTCTTCAAAGCTTTGACCTCTTAACTTGGTACCATTGAGTGTCTCTGATTACTGAGATCCCAGTATCCAGACAACAGTCCTCCAGTACCATAGGATTCCTCACTGTTTTCACTGTTTCCTCACTGCTTCTCCTTTGGATGAGATGGTGGCAGAGGATATGGGAAAACTACCCGAACTGTTTGAAGATGTAATTAGTTAAAAGAGCCAATATCAAAATGTTGTCAAAATTATGGTGAGGGGAAGAATAGAGTAAATGATGGAAGCATGCTTTAAGGGTAAAAAGCCACTGTACTACTTCTGCATATTTAATTTGATGACATTAAAGGTTTAAATCCTGTCCCTGCATCCTCATTAAACTGGAAATAGTGCATTCCCACTGAACAAGGCAGACAGGATTTGGGGAATACAGCAATGTGCAGGAAGCAAGTCAGGGAATGAAATGGTTAACCAGAAGATTGTTGCTGCACAGGTCTTTCAGCCAATGTTCTACCACAGGGTGGTATAAGACATGTATAGGGCTTATTTAGCTATCAGTATGAAGTAACCTCTTCAAAACTGCTCCATAGCCTTTGAGGAAAGATGTCTCCTCCTGAGATTGCCCAGTATATTTGCATTACACTTGGACTAGCTGTATGAGTATGACCATACAATGATTATTTTGCCCTAAATATATTTGGGCATTGAAAGCAACCAGCAAATCACTTATCAAAAACATTAAGAGCTGACTTCTGTTCCAGTGTTTGCTCGGTCCATATTACAAACTCTGATTAATAATCTTTAAATAAATATAGACCACAGAAAGCAGTAGTTAATAAGATGAAAGAAAATATGATAAGGCCATAAAATCATTGGCGGTTTTGCAGCCACTTTCCATAGAAACATGTTCTTCTGGAAGTCAGCCAAATGGGCATTCCCACCTGAGGAACCTTTTATTAACAATGTGTGCAAGCAAAAATGTGACATTTTACTTACTGTTTGAATTTCTAGTGCCTTAGGAAAATGATTTCACTTCTTTTTTCTAATGGAAAATGAAATCCTGAGGTATGTTGTTTGGCATGTGGCCATTCCACATCAGACTGTGATCTCATTAGTTCACTTAAAATAAGCCAAGTCAGTCATGGTCACTTTTGGGTTTGGAAAACCTCTGAGATGCCCTGAGAAGTTAGTAGCTCAGTAATGAACCAATGCTACATTAGGCTATAAACTGTGTAACTAAATATTTTTCTTTGTAAGGAGCTATAACACCACTTTTTAGTGAAGTGACCCTGTTTTTAAATCAGTTTTAAAAGTTTTGAGCACTTTGGGATATTTGGATGAAAGTATAATACAAATGTCAGCTATTTCTTTTTTAACTTTTCAAAATTTAATAAGAACTAAATTTTCATTTTTTTTTATTATGTATGACTTCATTGGGAAATTGCCTATTTGTATGAGAACATAGGAATTGCCAGATCTGATCAAACCAGTAGTCCATCTGCTCCAGAATTACATTCTGACAGTGGCCAGTACCATATATCTCAGAAGAAGGTATACGAAACACAAGAAGAAAATTTATGAAATAACCTGCTCTCAGGGAAAAACAATTCCTAGCTGCTGCGTGTTTTCCCAAACTTTTTGCAAGTTGATGTTCCTGTTTAGGAAAATGAAATTACAGGTTGGACCTCCCTGATCCAGCACCCTTGGGACCTGACCAGTTCCGGATCAGGGATTTTTCTGGATCAAGGGAGGTCATTTCAGGCCCCCCTGACACCAGTCCCCTCCAGCTCTGGCCCGATCGCTGGTCTCCCAGACGCCTCCCCCCTCTCGCTGGCTCCCACTGCCCTGTCAGCCCCTGCTGCAGCACCTGGCAGTGTTGCCATCTCCACGCACCAGGCTCTCGCTGCAGCACCTGGCAGTCCTGCCACCTCCAAGCACCAGGCTCCTGTTCTCCTACTGATCAATCCCACTACTGTGTGAGGGGCTCCCACTCCCTGCTGGGAACCCCCGCTGCTGCGCATCTGTCTCCCACTGCCCTACCAGCCTACTGGGCTCCCATGTGCTAGCTCTCTTCTGGGAACTCTCTGGTTCTGGAACATCCGAGGTCCTGCTGGACCCGGTTAAGAGAGTTTCAACTTCTAGTTGTATTCCTCTTCAGTCAGGGCATTTGTTATGAAAGGTCTACCTAAAATGACTGACCAGTCACTCAGTAGATTGGATAGATCTTCATAATGATACTACTTTTCCTTCACTGAATGCTTTCACAGAGTTGATATTTAATATGTATTAAATATATAAGGTATTTCACAGGGTTCATATTTAATGTGTATCATCCTTGGCATCTGAGCTAATATTCTTTTAAGTTACCAGGGCAGTAGACATTTCAGAGCTATTATTTCAGGCTGTGTAAATTTAGGAGGACATCACCCGGGTCATGTTTCAAAAGTTTTCTTCACAACATTAGCAATTTGAGACTTACCTAGAAGCTGCCAATTTAGAGGAAAATGGACTTATCCATGCCCTTTGTGGTACTTCACACAGGGCCTCAGAGCAGGGGGCAAGTGGAGCAATTTGCCCCGGGTCCCGCAGGGGCCCCCATGAGAATGTCTGAGTCACGGAGTGCCAGGAAGGGGCCCCCGAAATTGTTTTGCCCCAGGTCTCCTGAATCCTCTGGGCAGCCTGACTTCACATCCTTTTTCTTCCAGCAGTCATACCCCACACTTTAAAAATATATTGCCCAAAAGTAGGGGTTATTACATTCCTTCTAAAATGGTTTTAATCCTATTTAATTAATCAGAGAATGTTCTCATTATTCCTTTTTGGAATCCTGTTAAGCTTGTCATCTCAGTTATATCTTATAGCAGTGAGTTTTAAAAGTTATAGATCTGGGTTCTTTATATTTATTCAATGATCGCTAATCAGGTCTTGATGCTGAAAACAAAATCTGTTTCCCTTTTTTACATTGGTTAAGCTCTTAGTGTATGGTCAATTTCCACACAATATTTAGGACAAAGGAAGGAAAGGTAGTGTCATAAAGCACTCTGCGAATCCTTGGCTGCTGTGTTCAGGTAAGCCCTTGTTGTAAGTTACAGCAGCCTCAGGGGTACTCCAATTTAATGCTTGCAGTTAATGGCCATTGGGGCTAAAAAGCATAGTTTGGGATCAGCATAGTATAGAGCAGGACTTCTCAACACGCGGCCCATGAGCCACATGTGAGCCTCCCACCCATTTGTTTGCAGCCAGCGGTGCGGTTTGGGTTTATGCGGGTCTCAACACATGGCCCACGGATGGGAGCCAAAACAAAAAAATAGTCAATATAATGGACTTCTATTGATATGCATTTTAGTAGATAAATTCCTAGACTGTCATTGCTCATTACAAGTGCTGTCATATGGGTGGAAATCAGGTAAATATTGCATTTTATTAATTATCAGCAGAACTGACTTAAATGGGGCCTGTGTGTTGTGTAGTCATGCCTTAATCTTTGTATTCATGCCCATCAGTGTGATAGAAGCTATTTGCATATATATTTGCATGTATATGAAAACACACTTGAGTTGCGGCCCTTGACATGTGCTATATCATTGTGGCCCCCGGGGCTTCCAAAGTTAAGCCCTGGTATAGAGACACCCTGGCCATGTGTCTTAATTCAACAACATATTTCATCATGGTGAGAAGATGCTGTAGGAATTTTGAGCTGGCTGTGTAACATCAGAGGATTCTTCTTCTACTATTTGATTATGCCAGGGCCATGCTGGTTCTAGGTCCAAGGTGCGCTGGCAATTCAGCATGAATCAGCTGCATCATATTGGAGAATCTGGTCCACTGGGTCCACATAATGCATATTATTGTTTTTAAGCAAATGAAATTGCAGTTTTAAATTGTATTTAGTGATTGCCTAGATTTATGAATGACTTAATACATTTAAAATATATTTAGGTTGAATAACAATCTGCTAAATATCTTTCAAATGTTGTGATTTTTCCTGTATTTTCTTTTCTGTACCTCCTGTCTTCAGATCATCTTACTAAGAAATAGACCTTTATATGATACCTGCAAAAATAAGAAACTTATTCAACTGATTAGTCTATTAATAAATTTAAGTGCATTCATTTGTTTAGTGCAATCTTAAAGTATTAAGAATTCTTTTCTTTTTTGTTTTTGTTTTTATTAGTGGTCATATGCTTTAGAGAAACCAAGTACTGGCAGTATATTTAATATTGCTTGGTCTGTTGATGGTACTCAAATAGCAGGAGCTTGTGGAAATGGACATGTGATTTTTGCCCATATTGTGGAGCAACGCTGGGAATGGAAGAACTTTGAAATAACATTAACTAAAAGAAGAACTATGGAGGTATGGGTTACAAATTCAGCAAAGTTGACCTTTGGGATTGTATATGTAAGACTCATAATTGTAATTTCTCCTTCAAGTGGTGTCCCTGTGGGTGCTCGACTCTGGGTGCTGGTACATCCTCGTGCCACAGTTTCCGTCGTGCACACACTGTGGCACCCCTTGTGTCATTGGTGTCTGTTAGGTCTATTAGGTGCGCATGCGGTGCGGTCCCTCAGTTCCTTCTCTACTGTCCTTAGCAGCAGACAGAGCCTCTCTCTCTCCATCGTTCTATCAAAAAACCCGGTTATTACCCTTAGTTACCTCACTTCTCCCAAGTTTTTAGGCCCTTACCCTATCCCAGTGCAAAAAAAAAAATTTATTTGCGGCTCGCCGCTTTTCGCCACGCCTCATGCCAGGATCCCCTGGCTTCAAGAGGTGCGAGTCGTGCCAGGATGCTATGCCTGTATCTGACGGGCATTCCAAGTGTATAAAGTGTCTTGGGGAGTCACACCAGACACAAAAGTGCCCCCACTGCTGGAAATTGGCGACCAGAGCATGCCATGACCGAGCCAACAGACTGAAGACCTTATTATACGAAAAATCTCTCCAATCGTCTTCGGAGGATACTCCAGCGAGGCCAAAATCTGTTCATCAGCCGAAAGGTATGGACAAAATTCGTCCCTCTACCTCTTCTGGCATGGCTTTCTCAAAAACGGGTCTGTCTCCAGCCCGATCTGTACCCTTAGCACCGACAGCTGAAAGGGTCAGCACCGCAGGTAGACACTGCACTGTCCAAAATGCTGGCACTGCATAAGAGAGCACACTCAGAACCCAAACAAAAGCAAGCGGCACCGACCGCACCAGAGGGGCACCATAAGGATCGCTTGGCACCGAAGCAACACCTTCACTCGGCTCCGGCCTCGTTGGCTAAGAGACCCCGTACCGAAACATCACCTACAGACTAGACAACACCGCCAGCACCATCGGCACTGAGCAAACCTCACAGCTCGACACCAACTCAAGAGCGCTTATGGCACGAATCTCCTGTCAGGAGTCACACACCAATGGCACTGATATCACCAGGATCCTCCATATAGTTAGTGCGCTCCCTTAGATCATCTAATCACTCGCGCTCTCCAAGCGAAGTGGGCACTGACCCTCGGAGCAGATTCTCCTCCCAACATCCAGCCCAACTCACAGACCTCCTTCTTGGCAGTCTGGGCAGATGGCATATGCATACCCACGACCACCACCATGGTATGCACAGCATTACAACTATCCGCTACCTCCATACACCAGACAGTTGCAACCATGGGACTCACATTCTCCATCCACCATCCAGAGACCTGTTCTCTAAGGGTATGTCTACACTACCCCACTAGTTCGAACTAGCGGGGTAATGTAGGCATACCGCACTTGCAAATGAAGCCCGGGATTTGAATTTCCCGGGCTTCATTTGCATAAGCCGGGCGCCGCCATTTTTAAATCCCGGCTGGTTCGAACCCCGTGCCGCGCAGCTACACGCGGCACGAACGAGGTAGTTCGGACTAGGCTTGCTAGTTCGAACTACCGTTACTCCTAATT